CACGGTCTAGAAACAATTGGTTACGTGATATCAATCCTCAACGAACGTTAACCGAGTAAAGAGGGTTTTCTCTGTCATACCATTTAAAGTTGACAGTAACAGATGTCTTCAGGCTTGCCTCTCAATTCCTATTGATACCTATGGCATATGGAAAATTTCTTGGAATAAATTTACCTTTTTTGACACTACACACGGTGTACTTGTGCATTTTAAATCACAAAGCTGTTTAGATATACTCATCATAGATCAACATGGCTCCTTTGGCGCATGAAAAAGCAAAACTCATGGAATCTACACGTTAACAGTATCGTGAGAATTTAACAATAGTACGTTTCACGCAATGGCCAAAAAAGAAAACAAAAAAGATATGACCGTATGGAATAAAAACAAACATTGGGTTCTAAGTAACATTTTAATGTTTTTTTAACCACTGCAGTGATATATAAGACAAAACTATTACCACTAGTGAAAGAGGGTTGTTGGATTTTTTGACATTCTTTGTTTTTGAAGGTGAAATGATTTCAAAACTTATTATCTTAATTGGGGAAGGCGTTTGACTTGACGCCACACTGCCATAAGGCCAGCGGTTTAGAGACTAGTATTTGATTTGTCTTTGCAAAGATTTTCACAATGCTTATGAATATGAAGATGCGTTATTATAAATAGCTGAAAACGACGAAAACGTTAAATTATCTAGACAGTTTTCCTTTACATCGATCATTGGTTGTTGCTTTTTGTTTAACTAAACTGAAAGTAACACTTACTCATCTACCAGTTTAGCTCTCATTGAGTTTAACTCCATCATAAATTGAAGTTTCATTTTGTTTTCGGTGTAAAACAATGATATAATAAAATAAACATCAGTAAATCTGACTCTTAATGCTAATTTGTGCTTTTATTAAACTTTATCATTTAAACAAACATGTACTTCTCTCTCAAATTGTTATTTAGCAGCAGACTCCAGCCTTTTACCTGTGACATACAAGGGCAAACACTAAGAATAAAATAACATTCAATTGCTGATCAACGAGGACTTTGTTTTTTCTCCGTTTGTTTGATGTAAAAACTGCAAGGCACAACCATAAACTCCAGGCAAATAAAAGGCAAATATTTCTTACTAAACGGACTTTTCGAGCGCGCATTTTTAACTAGTTAAGGCTGACTAGTTGGTGTTTTAGCAAATATAGTTCACCAATTTAAAGTCAAATAAATTATCGAATGGCTCTTCATTATCCAATTGTTAGCTTCCGGTTATGATTAATAAATTGTTTTGCTTCAGTATTGGAATATAATACAGTCTGCCTTATCAAACGAGGATCGTTAATAGCGTTAGCATATTGTATCCAGAAGAACGAATTTGCCTGGCGTACACAATACAGCTGGCTTGATACGAAAAAAATTCCTTATCTTACCAACAAGCAATGGCTTAAATCGCGGCTTCTTTGGATAAACTTTATTTCCAAGTGCACGCACAGCTAAAGGACCGAGAGTTGTATCGCTAACGGCAATAATTGGGACATGTAAGTTCCATGCATATTATTTTGAATACAACAACTTAATTATGATTTGATCGACAAAAAAAAAACAAAAACAAAAACAAAACAAAAAAAAATGCCGTGCACGCATGGTAGGGCAAAAAACGGGACGCTAGTTTGATTTTACTCTCTTGTTTTACTTTCTTAGTGATATGAAAGTACATGTATAGGATAAAATTGATCCTGAAAGAGTAGTGAAGGAGAGACTTTCAAGTTCTTCACTTACGAATGGTGAAATAATTTCAATTTTTTAACCTCACTGCATGAATAAAGCGCTTGACTTTGACTCAAAATTGCCGTGCGAACCGTTCAAAGTAAGGCCCCCTAAAGACATTGAATTATAATTTTGTTCAAGAAAGTTCAGATGCTTATCAATGTGTGAAGATGCTTCTACAAATTGTAAATAGTAAGTAAGCGAATGAGAAAGACTAACATTACAGGCTCTTACTGAGAGAATCCTCTTAAAGATTGTCCTTTTTTGCTTAAAATTTATAATTAATTACCAATGATGACCAAATGATCAAAACATTACAATGTCCTGAGAGAGTTCTCTTAAAGATTGTCGTTTGTTTCTTAAAATTTATTATTGATTACCAATTAGTCATACAAATTACAATTTACGAAAAAAATGCAAAAGTTTACATTTGAAGACTTACAACTTTGAATGTGATTGGTTGATTTAAACTGCAACTTTGAAAGTGATTGGTTGATTTAAACTACAACTTTGAATGTGATTAGCTTATTGAACTGTCCGATAAGAACTTGGCAAGTGAATTCGTGGAAATTAGGAGTTTTATAAATCAATCACAATTCAGGGAATTGTAATTTTTATTATAACATTTGGTTAAAAATGTCTGAGTGATAACTGAATGACGGAGGTGGTGGTCACAAAACCAACTATGGCCTCGAATTTGTAATATGATGATAAATAATGTGGAAAAAAAGATATGTGAATGTTTTTGCTTTTTTAACTGTCAGTTATACTTTGTGGAGATCCACGCTTAAAATGAATTCGAGTATTGTTGGTTCTCATTTATATTTTTAAATTAATAGCTTACTCAATGGGTTATTTTGATATGAAACTAACTGATTAGTTAGAAGGAAATTTAGTGTAAATTCTGAAAAGTGTTGCAGCAGAATAAATGGAATGTTACATAAAAAATTTAAGGGCTGGTTATTTACACGAGATCTAACCCAAACCGCGCTTTTACGTAAGCAGTGAACCTTAGGTGTTCTCTATGAGAGAGTTGATTTAATAAAATAAATTTCTTTCCTTTATTAGCTTTTGGCCCTCTTTTCACAAAAACATATGTTTGGATAAAAGTTTAAGCTAAATTGAAGATGGCTTAGAGCGCAGTTTTGTCAAACAAAGACTAAACTTTGTTGAAAGAACTGGCCCTAATGTCAAAAGATAAAAGCCCAGTGAAATACCAGCTTTCAAAATATTGTAGTCTTAAATAATTCACAAGTTTTTCCGAGGCTAGTAAAAATTTCAAACTCTTCATTCCTGAAGAAATCTCTTTGATATTGACTATCCATTTTTCTGTTTGATGTTAAAATATTTCGTAGAAGTGGAGAGGACTTATATTTATAGCATTTATTTGAAGATATAGTCGAAATGGTGCCGATGGACTCATTAACTTGTAAGAAGCTTATTGATAACATTGTTTGAATCAGTGATAACCCGGAAAGGATTAAAGGCTAAGTTTTTGGTGCAAATGAAGAGATTATCTAGAACACAGGCGATGAAAAAGGATTGTTAGATCAATATCAGTATCTGGGCAACTGCCCACCTACCCCTCCCCTAACTGAACAACAGTCAACAACAGTCAATTGACAACAATTTAAAGTTAATATTGGGTTAGGGGAGGGGTAGGTAGGCAGTTGCCCAGATACTGATATTGATCCGGATTGTTATTATTTTGAGGGTGTTTATCAGCACCCAACATTAGATTATCGTAACCATTTCACAAAGAAAGCTGCAGAAATAACAAAGGAGAACTATACAAAGGCATCTCCTGATGGCGATCGAACTGAGGAAATGTCAGCAAACTAGGACTAAATATTGAGATTTCGTTTTTCATCAAAAATCTGACATGGGAAATGTAAAATCAAGGATTTCTAACCAAATAACAATTTGCGTTGCATGGCATTGATTAAACGTTTTACTTTACTAACACCAAACCTGATTATCACTGTTTCTCGTAAAGTTCTCTTTTAAGGACCAATCGTTTGTGAAAGACAGATTTTGAAAAATGATAAGTAGAAAATCAGACCTACTCATCAAAAGTAAGGCTTTAAAAAAAATGGTGAACCATATATTTTGGACAGAAATGACAATATTCCCGAGCATTTCAAACGTGCAAACAAGACTGAAAAGTTTTCATATGATGATACATATGATGATTCATATGATTATTAAGTTTCAGTGATCAAAGCAGTTTAAGTGATTTCAAGGCTGGGCAGGTGCTCTCTAGACGGAACATTTTATGTTGCAATCACACGTAACCTGAAGGATAGGTCCTTCAACAAAACTACCTCTCAGTGCTAATTGGTACTTAAATTAACTGATTGAGATTAAAAACTTGTCGCAGCCCACCCGATCCAGCGCTGTTGCCGCAAGAGTGAACTCTGGTGAGAATGTTTGAAAACAAAGGAATAAGGTTCGGGTGGTTTCACCTGCGAAAAGAATGACAGCTTGTGTAACAAACTAATTTTATTTTATCTCAAGCATTGCCAGTTTGTCATGGGAAGAAAAAAATATTAAGATTGGTATTGTTGTCATGAGCTCTTGAACTCAGTGAACGACAGTGATGTCGAGAAACTAAATTATTTTTGCCCCTGCTTTTACGTTAGAAGTCCACAGTCGGCATTCAAGTTGTCTCCAACTGATAGACGTTTCGCCTTCCCATTCAAGTTTGGTTTCCAGAAGCTGATCATAATTTAAACAACACCTACTCATTTATGTAGCTATCAACGTCACTTCTCCCTAGTAAGGCTGGTTTTTGCCTTAAACTGCAGGATGAAAAAAAAAGCACAATATTTCATTTTTAATTTTACCTCTTAGCGCTAAGTCATTCAAAGATTGAACTTAACAAGTTGAATACACATGTGGTGTAGTTGTGACGCACAACACTGTTAGGCGACAAACATCCTGCCTCTTCTATTTAACAAAGATAATTTGAAGGGAAAGTTGCAGTAAAAAAAAACTATTGCATCTTTGGAGTATACTTCTAGAGTTTATCGATTGAATAACATGACAGAATTACTCGTTACAACGAAATTTACAAAGAGTTATATTTAATGTGACTTCTGTGAAGAAATTGGCAACTCTAACTTGTTCGTCTGAGTGACGAAGGATTGTCCATCGCGCTATAAGATATCGACATTCGGGGATCATTAAGTGATCAAAGCTGCGCAGGTGCTCTCAGTGCGGCAGCAAATTCAACGGGAGATGGAACGCAGATGAATACATTTGAAGAACTTGTATGTTCCTCTTCTTTGGCTGGTGAATTTGAACAATACGCACTGCGTCTGTCAGCAGTCATCATTTTTTTCTCCCTTACAGCATTTCTTGGGAATTCTCTGATCTTAGTTGTACTTCACAAGGTGTCTTTCCTTCATCCGCCGTCCAAACTCCTGTACCGTTCTCTGGCAACAAGTGATCTGTTGGTTGGTCTCGTAAGCCAGCCTCTCGCTGCCACTCTTTGGATGTCAGTTCTTTTCGAAGAGTGGAGACTTTGTCGATTCGCATGGGTGGCAGCCTTCATTTCAGGGTATGGATTATCTCTTATGTCTTTGTTGACAATGGCAGCCATGAGCGTGGACAGACTTCTCGCCCTGTTGTTGGGGCTGAGATACAAACAAATTGTAACTTTGAAGCGCACATATATCATTGTCGTTACTCTTTGGATTGTAACCTTTGTCGCTACTCTATGCAACGTGTTAGATTCTCGTATAGCGCCTTGGTTTGGTCGAATTGTCATCTCATGTTGCCTATTAATCTCGATTGCTTCATATGCTAAGATTTTCTGTGCTCTTCGCCGTCATCACGCTCAGGTACAAAGTCATGTTCAACAACAGCCGAGCCAACCAAATGCATTGAACATGGCGCGATACAAAAAGGCAGTGTACAGTGCACTGTGGGTGCAGTTAGTGTTACTTGCTTGTTATGTACCAATGAGTGTAGTGGGAATTTTGATGGCTCATATAAAAAGAGATTCATCACATTTAGTCGTCGCTCTTGGAATAGTGAATACCCTGGTTTATTTTAACTCGACTTTAAATCCGTTTCTTTACTGCTGGAAGATTAGTGAAGTAAGAAGAGCAGTTAAGCGGACAATCAGACAAGCGCTTTGCTGTCCACGGGGTTAGTTCTTCCATTATACTCTTACCTAGTTGTTTCAAGCAAGTATGTAACGTGACGACGCTATTAGATAACGCATCCTGTCGCGTATCATTGAATAGGAAGAAGTAAGAAGCTTAATGAAGTCGCTGCACAAAGCTGTTTAGATATTCTCATCATGGATGAACATGGTTCATTTTGTGCATGAAAAAGCAAAAATCATGGAATATACACGTTAACGATATCTTAGGAATTTAAGAATGGTATTTATCTTAACTGAGGGAGGCGTTTGACTACAGCTGGCTTGATACGAAAAAAATTCCTTATCTTATTAACAACCAGTGGCTTCAATCGCGGCTTCTGTGGATAAAGTTTATTTCCAAGTGCACGTATAGCTAAAGGCCAGAGAGTCGTATCACTAACGGCAATACTTGGGACAAGTAAGTTTTATGCGACGGCAGTTATTTTGAATACAACAAATTATGATTTGATCGACATAAAAAATGCCGTCCACGCAAGGTAGGGCAAAAAACGGGAAGCTAGTTTGATTTTACTTACTCGTTTTACAATCTTAGTGGTACGAAAGGACATGTATAGGATAAAATTGATTGTGAAAGGGTAGTGAAGGAGTGACTTTTAAGTTCTTATCTAACGGATGGTGAAATAATTTCAAATTTTTAACCTCACTACATGAAATAAAGCGTTTGACTTTGACTCAATATTACTGCGTGAACCGTTCAAAGTAAGGCTTGTTAAAGACACGAAATCGTAATTTTGAGCGAAAAAGTCCATAATGCTTATCAATGTGTGATGATACTTCTATAAACTGTAAATAGCTAGTAAGTAAGCGAATGAGAAACAGTTCAACATTACAGGCTCTTACTGAGAATTCTCTTAAATATTTTGTTGCTTAAAATTTATCATCAAATTACTAATGAGGACCAATTAATGGTAAAATTACAATGTCCTAAGATAATTCTCTTAACGATTGTCGTTTGTTTCTGAAAATTTATTATTAATCATCAATTAATCATAATCATGTTTTGATTAATAGTGTACTCAATGGGTTATATTGATATGAAACTCACTGATAAGTTAGAAGGAAACTTACTATCAATACTGAAAAGTGTTGTAGCAAAATAAATGGTATGCTTCATAAAAAATTTAGGGGCCGGTTATTTACACAATGTATAATCTAAACCATGGTTTTATGCAAGCAGTGAAAAGCAGGTGTTCTCTATAAGGGGGTAGATAAAACATAATAAATGTCCTTCCTTTATTAGATCTCGACCCTCTAGATACTATTCGCAGAAATTTATACCAAGATAAGAGGTTCGACTAAATTGAAGATGGCTTAAAACGCAGTTTTGTAAAACAACGACTAAACTTTGTCTAAAGAACTTTCGTGAGGCTAGTAAACATTTCAGACACTTTATTCTTGAAGAAATCCCTTCAACATTGAACAGCTAATATTTTGTTTGATGGCAAAATATTTCGCAAAAGTAGAGAAGACTTATATTTATAGTATTTTTTGGTAGATAGTCAAAATGGTGCCAATGGACTCACCAACTTGTAAGAAGCTCATTGATAACATTGTTTGAATCAATGAAAACCGGAAAGATTTTTCGTGCAAATGAAGACATCATCTAGAACACAGGTGATGAGAAAGGATTGTTTTTATTTTGAGGGTGTTTATCATTACCCAAC